ACAGTTGAATTACTATTTTTCATCGTCCCCCGCCCCCTGATCGAAATTCCCTCGGGACCAGTGACATGTCAAAGCTGCTACCATCGAGTTTCGCAGTCGTCGCGCGCGAGATTGACGAACTCGTCCGTTGCGTACCGTTTTTTGATATTTTATCCCAGCCATTTTGTCGAAAATACCGAAACGGAAAATAATGCACGTCGGCACGTTTGTTTTGTAATCGGTTTCGGTTATCCGGTGACAGCTGTCAACGGCCAGAGAAATCCGTGTGGGATACGTTCGAATCATATTTCACGCCGAGCGAGCGACTGCGGTGCGCTCATTTGCCGCAGGTGCACGCGTTTCCGGTTTTGCCGAACGGAACGGACGAAGGTCGTATTTTATATTTTGTTTTTGGTTCTTTTTAATAGGTTCATTTATCATTGTACTTCTGTACATACGGGCCAAAGTTAACCATAATAGAGTTATTGTTAAATAAAATTTGATTTACCCAACGGAGCGCTTAATGAACCAACTGTTCGGGCACGCGCCGAGTCGTTTTGTAGAATTCTCAGCCATTCATCGTGGTTTTTGGATTTATTAAGTCACAATACGATAACATTATGATCATTAGAGTTAATGTTTTTATGTCTTTTGTAAAGGTTATACAATGCTAACAAAGCAATACAATTGTTTCATTATACAACTATTCAGAATATTATGAAATTATTATTAAGAATTTTTTTTTGCAATTTCGTCATTTTTCGTTTTAAATAATTATTTACGTATTAATGTTTTTTTTTTAATTTCATAGACATTTTACGTCAATTTTTCAGATTTAAACCCATTTTTGTTCATTTTAAGGTTCTTCTTTTTTTATATAATATACCATATACATGCATACGATTATGGCATTCAAAATCTATATTTTAGTATTATTTAATGGATAAACAGTGTTTGATAGTGTGGATACTTGTACTGGATTATTCATAAAATATTTTAATGTTAATTCAAAACCTTTTTAATCATATTTGTTGTAGTTTCATAGTTATACAACTCAACTACCAATTCACTTTGATAGTAGTGAATAGTTCAACAGTTTTAATTGTTCACTTGTTTATAAAGATATTATACGAATCGTTACCCGCAAGGTAAATATTAAGAATTTTTAGGGCTTTTGTTTAGTAGTTTCTAGACCATCAGAACAGGCCCCACAGAATCCGGATATTTCAATCGTCCGTCTGCTGCAGTTGATTTCTTTCACAGGCAACAAAGAATTTATTGTTCGGGCCATGTAACGAATTCGTGTACGGCTTAACATAATAATATAATACCGCAAAAAGTTGTTATTACGATATAATACGTATTATACCTATGTCGCATTAAAATGATTTGTATTCCCCTGGCTATTAACATTACAACATTGAGTGAGAATATGGGTAAGTGTCACGCGAACCACGTATATAGTACCTGTATACGCTCATATACGGCTAATATAAAACCGCTACATGTTAAGTAAAATATTACACTAAACCATATTAATTAATCTTCAGATTATCAAGGATAACAGACCCGACGAATCACGCACTTGTGTAGGTCAACATTTTATCTATCTCATAATCACCACATTTTCGAAATCATATTTATTAGGTAGGTGCTTACCAAACAAACTATTACAATATGTTTATTGTACGGTAAGTGTGATATTATTATATTATTACTACTCATTAACGTGATACATAATAATACAGTGGATATTAGTTATAAAAAATAATCAAAAATGTACTCAATCTGTAAAAGGCGTAAATGCTTATTATACTATAAGCTAATTATTTCTTACAACATAACTATTTTACAAGACAGTACCTTTTCTATAAAATATTTTTTGTTAATAAACTAATGCGTGTACATTGTACAATATAAAATATATACCTAAATAGTTAATGTATACAATAGTTATACTTAAATTACTACCATTTTATCGAATTCATTATGACTTTTGAGTGATGTAAGACCATTCACATATGGTTAATACGAACCTATACGTTATTTAAATGATACATATTTCCTATACGATATTCACTGTTTGACTAAACTAAAACTATTATTCAAATATGAAGAGAGTAAGCGACCCTAACACAAACTTAGTTACAGAAAAAAAGTCCACAATCAGTCGTAACCTAAAACAATTTTGATGTAAAATGTATGCGTCCTTTTTGCGAGTTACAGCAGTGGATGTTTTATTAGTGTTTGCCGGTAGAAACTTATTCATTCAGTTAGAAAACAAAATAACATGTAGTTTTTTTGAGCTTGTACTGTTGTCACGAAATCATGATTAGGTCACGTAAAACGCAAAGGACAGCGCCGGATTAAAACTAGTTTACGTATAATAATTTGTTATAAAATTACTCTTGTACCTACGCATAATTTCAAGTAAATTGCAAATTTGTTTCTAAATTGTATTAACCTATATGCATGCATTTAATAATTACAATATTAACACGCGAAATGTAACAGTATAAATCAGATTTTTTTAATAATTATATAATATATATTATATATTACCTAATATTATGTATATGATACATAATTTTTTTTGTCTTTGAACTTTCGGTCAAATAGTGTTACATGTTTTCATTTCATTTTGATATCAAATTATAGAACCCGCCATTTGTCATGTTGTGGATTTTCGATTAATGCTATTACAATGACTCTGAAACTATGTTTCGAAGTAGGCAATGGCCTAAAATATTCTTCAGGGGAGTAGTACTCTGGAGGTTTGGCCAAAATGTAACTTTATAAAGAATTAATTGAAATTAAATAGTAGAGGTACGATTGGTGATTAGACAATGTAGTCTCGCAGGTACCAAAGGGTGTAATCCCCATGGGTCTCGTTTTATGGGGATAGATAATTGCATCCATCTTCTTGAAATGAAGTTCAACTGTGCTTAATAATATACAGTTGGATGTATGAAATAATAATACACAATCGTTATATACTTGATAAGTTATGATAATAAATATTTCTCTAGTATTTTACATTATGGTATTAAAGTATGATGCAGATGAGTGATGAAATTATAAACCGGTATTCAAATTCAATATAAATGTATAGATTATAACATAGTTTTGAAATTTTATAAACTTACAAATCATTTTTAAATATTCTATAAATACAATTGTATGTCAAGAGCAATATAGCCAATAATAATGATTGATCTTTAAGTTTTATAGTTTATACTCATATTATATTTATTTAATAATAATATTATGAAGTTATTATCAAGGTGACTTTACAGTTACATTGTATTATTGATGTGGCTGAAAATTTGTTATTAAAATCTAAGTCATACGATATTTGTCCACTTTATAGTATTAAATAATACATACAGAGACTGCAATTTATAAAACATAGGATGACGTTCAAACAACTCATAATCCAAAAATCGAACTGTCTTACAAAAAAAGTTGAAATTAATATCATAGTGACGCCCAATTAAATAAACTATCATGTTATAATATTTTTACAGAAACCACGATACAGGTCAAATGTTTACACTTACCTATTTCTCTGATAACAATGTGTTATACCGTTTGCTTTTCTGTGCCATTATAGCTGACTATTTGGAGAACAAATGAACAATGGAAGTTATTTGTTACAAGAAAAGCTCTCTCTGGTGGTTTTTTGCAGTCTATGTCGTGCATAGAATGATATTCAGAACACTTGTTGTTGAATGAATCGGGTACAAAATATTATCTCGTACTGCATTTTGAATGGAAGCACACCCCTTCGCAGGTATTCTATAGATGTCTCGTTTTAAATAACTTGTATACACTCAGTGCGGCGTTACGTTATATAAATTATAATACACGGCAGGCTGATTTTCGTTGTCTGTGCATTATGTTTCTTCCGTTCGTTGCCAAGAAAAATACGAGAAACGAGGGCAAGTGCGGTTTTGGTGCACGTCCCTACCATTATTAGTGTAGAGTGTCTACTTAATGAATGCAAATTCATGAGCGCTAGTATAATATTATAATTATTAATTATACTATAGTCAGCCAGGGACGGAACGCGGATTCAGCGACGTTATCAACTCGTAAGCCTCGACCACGTGGTTTGATATAATAATAATAAAATCGATTTTCACGTGCACTTGCCACAATATACAGGGAAAAAAATAGCACGCCCCAAAATGTCTCATTATTACTGAGTATCCTGAGTATACGAATAATATATTGCATTGCTATAGTTATAGGTATGCCATATTAACGTATTACAGTTTCGTCAAATTTTTAGATGATTTATAGTTTTTCAGATGATTAAATATCTATATCACACGGATTGCAATATAAACGAATTTAATAAAAAAAACACTTTTAGCTACGTTTCCGTTTTCAAATAGTTAACTAATAACACAAAATTACCGGCTCGGGTGTTGACCACTCGTCACTCACCTCTGAACAATATTTTTATTTTTATAAATTCAAAAGGTGAATGTGATGGGAGTTCTTTTAGACCTCACTCTCCTAGATTTCTTTCAATGTTTTTTGTAGGTAGTAAATATTTTACTTTGCGCTTTGGGAAATTACTGAGGAAATCGAAGAAAAATTTCCTGTTTCAAATAGGATACATAATAGGTACATATTCGATTTTCAATTTTTAAGAACTTTTGCTCAGAACAATGCCTGAAAAAATGTTGATGGTAAAAAAAAATGATCTAATCGTAAAAACAATTTATTCCTTTCACCAGAAATCTAAAAGTACTCGTACATATTACAAGATAAAAAATATATTAACACACATGTGTTTATTGTAGATGAGCGTGAAATAAGTTTATTAACGATGAGTGGGTTTTGATAGAAGTCCTAACTGCAATGTTTAATTATCTAAATAATAAACTATAACGTATAGTTTAAACAATTTTATTAGGATAAAACCCTAATATACAAAATATTTGAGACTTCTTATCTTATCCAATAATACAACGATGGTGGTAAATAATAAATTAAGTGATCACTAGGAGATTTTTTACAATACATTTATTTGAGCGTAAAATTAATTTTTTTATCGTTACTCATCAATTATTTATATTTACCGACGATTAGAAACATTCTATAAGAAGTATCTATACAGAAACACCTTTTGCGAAAAATTAAAAGTAAAAAAAAAATTAATTTTAACTTCAACTAAATATCTATAAGATTCTAACACAGTATAATTGTATGATGATTTGAACTTAAAAATATACAGATTTAATGTTTAAAATAAGTTTTGACAGATTTTTAGTGATATTAAAAATAATACATAATATTATTATAAACTAAACTATTGTTCTAATGATAATTTCGAAAGCAATAAAATGAAAGATACTATTCATTTTCATTCGTATTCATTTGACTCATACGATTCATAAACAAGCTTTCGTTGTTTATTTTTGTAACATATTTTGACTTAATTACATGAGGCTAAGTATTAATAGATTGCTAACTTGTGTTAGTTAATATAAAAATCTTTAGACTAATACATTAATATCTGTAAATTATTATTAACAGTACAAACGTTTTAATTAACTAATGCGTTCAATTCGTACAAGTGTCCTTGTAGTTTCGTCTTAAATACTAAAGATAATCAAGTATTCTTGGGCAAATAATTATGTTATAATTTAACATTTTCTTAGCTGATTCACATGAATATTAAAAAAATGAAACAGGTATAGTTCTTCAGTTATCCAACTTCTATTTCAGGTAGGTGGTAATGCTGTCATATTAAATGCGAGCACCAAATGTTGTGTTATTAATTTTGTATGCCATTTAAATCGATTAATCAATGAACATAATAATGTATTCAGACGTGATAAATAATAACTATATCTGTAAGTTTTCTGGTGAATTTGTTCGGTTTTTTCGCCATTCTGTATACTTCAATATACATGGACTACAACAGACTACAGTGCGACTTTTATTGAATCGGTTGACTGTCAACTGAGGTAATAATAAACAGTATTTAAAGGTATTCTATTATTCTAAAGAAATAAAAATAGAATTGCTATGCACACAGGAAGGTCGTTTTTGTTGTTTTCAGCTAATAATAATCATTGGAAACCAAAAATATAAATACATATAGCATTGTAACTACTAAATTAAACAAATATTAATCCCAATGTTATATAAACAAAAACCTTTTAGCAGTTATTTAAATGATCTTTATGAAACTAAACTTATAAACTTGGCATTTTCATCAATGTATTTATAGGTGCACTTTTAAAGTTTCTTTTAACAATATATTAGTGCTATAGCGTTTTGAATCGATACAAGATACAACAGTTTTAATAAAATTAAAAGGCGTATCTTTTTATTTACATTTTAATTGACATCTACAATACCTAGTTTTTATGCTATAAAGAATTGAAAAGTACAAAGAGTTTGTCAATAATACATTTTATTTTAAAACAGTTTAACTACAAAAGGCTTGATACAACCCAAATAAACATTTTCCATTGTGAAATAACTACCGATTTATTAATAATATTCAGAATATTGTTAAACAAAACATTAATTTAAATACATAATATTATCTTATGTACCTACTTCAACAATGCATACTTTAGTCATTATTTATTGTAAGTATAGATATTCTTGTACCAGTATCTCAGAATGTTATGATTCCACATAATATAACTTAACATAAATTGGAATGCAGCTATAAACAGTTTTAGTTTCTAAGCTATTCCATTGATTAAATATATGTATATATGTATCAATGGCTATTGGCTACTCATATTGTGTATTTTTTTTACAACTAATCGCCACAAAACGTCCTAAATTTAATTAAATACACAAACCACATACTTTAATAAACAAAATTGTTTTACACAACTTTATTATAGAATCATATCAATATAGTTTATGCTGTTTTCAGAATAGTCTGTCAATAAAGTGTACATTTTCCATTTTATACCTTATAATGTAATAATATAACTAATACACAACTAAAATAATAATAATAATATAAATTGTTGTAATGATAAAAATCGTATTTGATCAACCTTATCTTACGCGTATGATGTAGATATTCACTTTCCTTGACAGTTAAAATTTTCCCTCGGAATATGCGATATTTGTATTATTAATTCATAATTGTATTATAATATTATATGTTATATATTTAATTTAATATATTATTATTGTTTATTAGTAAATTATCAGAATTTTCGGTAAACAAAGTAATTTTCGTTTAAAATTAATAATAAAAACAATTACTTTGTAGCCTGTAGGTGATATCGGGCAAAACAATACTTTCTATAAGATGGCATGGTTGATAAAATTAAAATCAAACTACTTTTTGAATTTCAGTATTAAACTTTTGAATGTAAATATAAAATATATTTAAATTTTGTAACTGCAATATACGTATACGTATTCGTGTAACCACGCATCAACTATTGTTTGTGGATAAAAATTATACACTGGTTAGAAAATGATTCCGATTGTATATTGTTGCAGCATTTTAATGTTATAACTTATAAGTAATAACACAAGATGTTAAACACAACGATGATATTCATCAGCTTATGGAAGTTCACACCATCGTAACTTGTAAGGATAGGGGCATAAAAATAAATGAAAACCTGTAGACGAATATAATATAAATCAATGGTTGAGTTCAACAACTAAGTAAGTGTTATATTTATCATTATTCAGGTCGTAAATATTATTTTTGGTTGTCTGAAGACTACAAACTTCTCGCACAAGAATGATAGCATTGTATTTGCACGCGAGACATGAAAGTCAACGATGATTTATGAGAAAACATTGATAATAATATTTAGATGATAGGTTTTAAAGAGGAAAGATAAATAAAAAAAAAAACAATTTGATACGAATAAATATCAAGGTAAAATAAAAAAGCTAAGACAAAACGTTCAATTATTTTCATAGACAATCGAGAAGTATAGGAAGACGGATTATATATAAGAAAACCCACGAACTTTTGGGATTGAACACTAAAAGCAGCAATTGACGAAGACAAATAGCAACCAGAACACTTTAATAAAACTTGTTTTTTTTTCAAACATAAAACAATACCAAATATTTGTTCATATAGTTTAGCAATATTGATTGATATGGGCCACAGTGTATGCATAATTTAGATAATAAAGAAAAATCAATAGTTAATTATAATTTATAAACGAATTCATCTCAATCAATAACTTCAACCTTAACCTCAACTGTAAATCAAATTATTTGTATAAGATATTTTTATCCTTAGGTATCATGTGTATACTTTATATTATGTGGTATGTATTCTACACATATTTTTTGTTTAATGGCATTATGACAGCTCTTTACGTAGGTTGGTACCAATGAACGTTATGCGACCAAACGGTATTTGGATAATTCTCATCAAACTATCTGTGTGTATATTAAATGCAAGTACATGGTTTCGTATCTCCTAAATTTACGGAAATCCACCTACTAAACATAATGTTTTAAAAATTTTAAATTATTTTCTTTCATATTATTTTGTATTCAAATAAACGTTATCCAAACATATTATATTATAATGCTCAAAGAAGACGTCTGTAATTTACAATATACATGACAAGTATATTTGCTTGTAGCTTATATGCGTACAGCTTCAAATGCATTTTAAACGAGTCATCCTAGAATAATTTGTGATATAGGTTTCATTCAGATTTAGATATTAAAATACAACCATTACTAATTATAATTGACGAAGAATTTGAATATAATATATAATACTTAAAGTGTAAGTTTTCGAAAGAAAAACACTGAAATCGAATCACTTTTTTGTTTTTTTTATTGAATTTAGCTAATATCATATTACGGCAAACATTTCAATCAACATAATTTTTGTATTCATAATTTAATATTATGTATGTTTCTTCAAGTATTTTCCAATAATATAATATAGTTATATGCAATATGCTCTTTCTGTTTCTAGTGACTTTTTAGCTATGATAAATTAAATAAAGTAATTAATTAATATCTGTGAATTTAAGTGAGATCCAAAAATTGATAAAGGTTCAAACAATTTAATATTACAAATTAATTGAAAACTAAAAATGTGCACTGTACAGTACATAGTCTAAACACGGCACCTTGGTTATGCAATTATATGGCATATTTGTAGAGAAAACGTTTTTTTTTCTGTATTTGTTAAATATTTTAAATATTTATATTGTTTGAACAAATTGTTCTTTAGAAGAAATAAGCCTCGGTAGCAATGGCCATTGGCTGACATTTGCCATTATTTTTTTTTCCTAGGTTGTTTTCACAATGATAAAAAAACGCTTTTAAAACACAATAAAAATGATAAAATATTATCTTCTATACTAGCTTATTAGCATAATGTACATATACCTGTAATTATTTTATAGCGGTTCGTGAGTCTAGACAATTTAGTATAGGGCTTTTGCATTGATTTGGTCAGTTTAAATATTTATCATTCGTATTATTTCTCGGCGAACGACTCGACTGAACACTGTTATAAGAAAATTAATATTGTAATCATTCATAATCCACAGATTTCCGATAAAACGCTTGAATCCAATTTAAAAAAACGTTATTAATCTTAAATTAAAATATCAACATCTAAAAAAATTCTAAGTTATATATACGTTTCGTTAAAATAAATGTGCATAAAAAAATATGTTAATTGTAATATCGTCGTATTTATGAAATTACAATTATGCAATTATTGCAGACTACAAACTTTTACTAAAATAGATTTAAAATTATATCTACAGAAACATATGATTAACTTTATTTTATATTCTCAAGTATTTTAAATTAAAATAATGTTAAAAGTTTGGTTCAAACTCTAAAATTGAAGTGCCACGTGTCGTCGTCGAGATGGCTGTTAGTTATTCTCAATTTTACAGAAACCACTTGAAAATTCTGAAAATTATAAGTTCTTTCCTTTTTTTAGTTGTGCTAAATTTCTAATCTTAGGTAAAGCTCGTGAAACTTTTCGGAAGTTAAACCGAAATAATGTCTAAGAGTCTTACAAAAACACATAAACACATCATTGAAACAACTGAATTGAGTCAATATTGATTTTGTAAGTAACGTGTGTAATTATAGTTATCGATAAAATGTAAAAATATTGAACAACATATTATAATATGACACCACCACCCACGCTTTACTTGTTAAATGCATGTTTGAATCATTAACGTTGATTCACCTAAACAATAACATTGTCGATAACTTAACAGGTTATTGAAATATATAATATATCATAATATTTTATAATATGTCAGTAAAATTTACAATAGTTTTTAGTGGCTTGGTAAGGCGTGGTCGTACGATCAATCTGCGGAAACGGTCTGAGTGTACTTATTACTTACCAGCCGGAGTTGTTAGCTCCGGATGGGTAACCACCTGGGATTTTTAGCAACAAAATCCTTGCCACACATACAATACGTGTTCTAAGACCAACCACTCTCTCCTACAAACTGCTGATGGCTATAGTTGCCGGGTTTTAGTTCAATAAAAAAAAAGTTTTTATTTTAATTAGGTAGGTCCCTAGTGTTTGTGACCCATATATGATTATACCCAAAAAGATATTATATTTTTACATGCACAATGTAAAATTAATTTAACGTTGAACCTCAAAGTTGTAATTATTCATACACTTATTTCAAATAGTTTTACATAATATGTGTACAGCATTAAAACACTACATAATTTTAGTTGTACATTGTACAGCTTGGGTCCACATCAGCTGACAGACGCTCGGGATATGAGCAGCAAGAGATGCAAGATGCACCTGATGAATTTTAATTCATTAATCTTAGTTCGTCACCGCAATCGGGGCTCAATGTCATCACGACCGTGGTTCTAGCATTAATTTCCAGGTCCATGCGATCCAAAAGACATAGTTATTAATTATTGACGCAGTAGGCACCTATTAAATTTTTTTTTATTTCTGGTAAAACAAGAATATTGGTCCCTAATGAAACGCTCGAGTTTATACCTACACTGGATTAGAGAAGTGTATTGTATCTGGATTTTGGCCTAAGATATAGACCATAATATTGGTCATCGAAAGAAACTGCCATTTGATATGGGCGGTCAAAATAGTCTGATGCCCACAGCCAAATTTTTATAGTCTACCATTACTGACGACATAATAATTTAATTAATATACAATATACGTTTTACATAGCAACACGTTAAAAAAATACTAATTGTTATATTATTTAAAACCTATAGTTGGTATCTATTTCCATGGCAACAAACTTTTTACAATATTGTAACTGTGTCAGGAATAAAGTTTAATTCACATTTTATGAGTAAAGTAAACCGTGTCGAGGGTTGAAATACTTCAATATTTTGCTGTCTCATTTTATTTGAATGTTTGGTATACATTTTGTGAGTTGTGATTGTAAATTTTAATTGAATATTTAAACATAAAAGGTGATATTTTTAATTTTGAGATTTCCATAGGTATGATTAATATGATACTCGTTCTCGAACTTTGTTCGACTGTCGTTGAAAGTGCATATACATTTTGATACAACGTGTCATTGGAGAATTATTAATGGTTAATTTTCTTAGAGATACCTTCTATTGAATTCAACTTCTCATGAAAGTTTATATTTTCTATTCGTGCCTGTGCCCCGTATCCTCATTGACATCCAACCACCGTATTTATTTTTATTTCTGCCGTACCATATACCACAGTATAGTCGAAAAGCTCGATTTCCGTACCATGGTAATTAATTGGAAATAATTGGAGAAAATATTTATGAACATTTTTAGTGAACCATTACACGTGTCCTTCTCACACATGCTTTTGATTTTATTTTACATAAAGAACAAAAGTCTCAGAGCCTAATATTGTATAGAAGCATACAGTAAGCTTGGTCTCTTGTACTAGACCAGAGGTTCCCAAACTGTGGGTCGCGACCCAAAAGTGGGTCGCGATTATACTTTTGGTGGGTCGCACTATTTTTTTAAATAATACAAAAATATAATCATCTATTACTTTTCGTTGATGTTCAAAGTTCAAATTCAGTTTTATCGTCAATCCTTATCTGTGAGTATGACAATTACGAGTTTACCAGCGGCCGTGTCAAATACTATATATTATACTTATTATACATTTTTTTCGTAATTACATAAAATGTAATAAAATAGTTTAATTTTCTGTTGTATGGTAAAAAAAAAAAAGGTCATTCATTGATATTGTGGGTCGCTATATTTAAAAAAAAATTCAAAATGGGTCGCACAATAAGAAGTTTGGGAACCTCTGTACTAGACAAATAAAAATATTTGTGTTCACTTTTTTTCCGCAAACTTAATTTTAATATTAAATTTAAAATGAACGAAATTCAGTTTGAATGTTGTAAATATAGGGAAAAAAAATAATAGCTTAGGAATAAAATATGTAAAATTGTATTTAAACTATTGACTTTTATTTTTTTATTTAGAAAAACATTTTTATAAAGCAGTGAACTTGTCATACTCTTAAAAATGGCATATTTCTTATCTTACTATTTGATTACAAATTTTCAGTAGTATGAAATAACATGGACAATATTTCATCGTTATTGAGAAATGTAATATCAAATCCTCGAATAAATGCCACGAAACGTTAACAAATTGAATTACGTCAACATTTAATAATTTTACGAGTGATCATTATTTCCAAATATATTTTATTAACTTTTGATGTATTTGGCTTGGAAATGTAATTTCAATTTCGAAAGGAAAACTGATTCACAAACAGTTTATTTTCTTTTTAAAATTATTAATTATTTCTGTTCTCATAACAATCGTGTTTTGAAATTCTATAAAATATAATGTTTAGTAAATAGTAGGTATTCTTCATATTTTAGTCGTAATGGATCCGGAAATTCTAGGTTTTGAGTTTTTGGAGTACCTATGGTACATTATTTTTGTAAGGATATTAAATACAATTTTTAATGGAATAAAAGAATGTTTCAAAAATTATATTATTCCCACGAGAATGTGAAAGTTTTAATGGCTTTTTATTCGTGACATTTTTTTTACGCCAAGTAGTAGCTGTGCATTGGGTTTTATGGAAAATTACCACGTTGCCCTTAAACGAAATATATAGTGACCGCGTACACAAACACACATCTATGTGCCAACTAACCGACAACTCCATGTTATTAAGAATGTATACGTGCCAAGTTTAATAAAATTCCGAGGTCTGATTTACCAGACTTTTTCACGTACGTTACCTCATATTATAGTTCATACAGAATAATAAAGGGTTTTATGCTCTATAGTCTATATTGTACTCCCGATAACAATCAAGGGACGGAACTCATTGAATAATAATAAAAATAAAAATATATTTATACGTGTATATACATATATATATTCAATATTTTATAATGTAAGATGCTCGGTACGTTTTAACCGGCGAGTATAAAATAAATCGATTTTTCTTGTTAGAGGCTTATTGTTACATTAAATAACGAGTCTGCACGATTAAAGAAACGCATAACTAGCAAATTAAGTCAGCTGCGGATCGGTAATGAAAATAATGATGATTAAAAGAAATTGCTCGAGGACAGGTTACTATAAAAACCAAATACAATATTGACTTACTTAAAGAATTAAATTACAATTTTAGACTTGTTGGCGGTTATTAAATTAAGTGTTATTGCATATTTAATAATGATTGCGTGCGTATAATAGGATATAAAATGATTACAGTAAACACGTATGTTGTTTGTATAGTTTAATAACATATAAGAGTTCTACGATCTCTCGCACTATATTATACATTAGAAGAACATTAACATAATTTCATTTGCCACGGGCATAAATCGTCTGCCCGCACATTACGCTTACTCGCCTAGTTCCAGATCCGGGCCAAGGTTTGTTGTTGGTTGTATAGCTACATTTATTTATTCAATTATTATATATATATATATATATATTTAAATACTTTGTGGAGATTACTTATACGAACCCTTAAAAAAGTCTAACCGACAATCACAACCGACATTGCAGATTTAGAAATAAAAAAATGTCAATAGGTTTATGTCAATACCCATCTACCTATTTAACAGGTTGACTTTCGTACAACTCATGTTTATCAGTAAACTTATTAAATACATTTTCAATACCTAATCATTGTAAGTTGTAACATTATACAGAAGTTACAGATTGTTTAACTTTAAACAACATATTTAGACAATATAAACATGCCTTAGTGCTTTAGAGTTATAAATAATGAGCAAGTAATCATACCTTTGAAATACTGCAACTTCCCGCGTTACTCGAAACGTTTGATTTGACTTTTCTCCTTCCCGTACAATTTACTATTACAAATTCTACGAAACTGGCAAACACAAAGCACATGCAAACTCCGTCCCAAACGTTCATAGCAGTCAAATTAGCTACGTCGGGCAAGGTCCGGCGGAAACTGTTGGAGGTTGTAAAGTAATTCAACATCGTCGTAACGCCTGAAAACACGTAAAATCGCAAATCGCGTTTGATTTAACATTATAATCTAATATGAGATCGTGAAATATGATAAAAATAAATAAATAATAATGACCAATAATTGTTCTCGCTGGTACAGCGTCCCATTCTAGGAAAAATGTGATAAATGATGAGGTGACCAAAATTAGCCCTGGTATGAAAATAGTAGCGAAGTAGAACGTTCTATCTCTACTAAATATCATTTCCACTTGTAGGCAACTGTAATTACCTGAAATATGTGTATAAAAAAAATGTTGTATTTAAAATATTGATTACAGTAATACTTTACTGCAATGAAAGCGACACACGATAACATGAGTCAAAATAAAGAAAAACAGTATACAGTATAATATAATCTAAAATAAATAAAAATGATTGAAAAAGTTAAGATAATACTAGTGAAATAAAACAAAGTACTATAAATCAAATAATGTGTAAGCCTAATATGCTGTTAAAAACTTTTTACTTTACCTCTCCAACTTCCAGTAGAAGCACATTCGTAAGTTCGATTTCGTTCCAAGTAAGCATTTGAAGTTTTCAGATTAGGTGACTTAATTAAAACGAAATTATCGTCTTTCCAGACATATTTTAAATCAGACTTCTCATATGATACTGTGAAAAAATAAGTTTATAATTAAAAGATCGTTGAGAAAAAATTGTATTTATGTATACCTACCGTGATTTAAATCACCAATGCCCGACATTTATATGCAAGCACAAATATCATTATATCAGCACAGATTATAAAAAGTATAAAACCATCTGGTGCACTTATATATTTACTGAAAATTTACCGAACTCGAACCTACCTCAATGCAATAGGACCACATATGAGGAATACATTATTGTGTTACACATTTATTATCTTAATTGTACCAAATAATATGACAATGATTAGGAATTTGGCGCTAGTGATGCAGTGATGCATAAAGTTAATAGGTAATCAATAATTTCTTATAAAAACTGTTTTTTCTCTGAGTGGTGATACTGATTGGAGGTAAGTTTTGATTTACTTACATTTCATGTCATCATTGATGGCTTGAATAAAAATTAGGAAGTGCACCATCTGGTGTTATAAAATCTATGATATAAAATCGTTTAAAATAACAAGCTATAAAATACAATTTGATATTATATTGCATTTGATTATATTAATGCTATTGTTCAACTAAGATTTCAAACATATTTTTAATAATACTTTACATAAAATACATGAATTCTTAGAATGATAATATCACCTCAAGATTCAAATATTTACTGATTAGGTAGGTCTTATAATATGATAACTCGTTTTCGTTGATCGCTAGTAAGTTAATCGTAACGTGGGTATATGAATTGTATATTATAATTAAATATATTTTTATCTGGCACGTTCGTTATTAATTCATTTTTGTTATTATTAATTCTTTAACTTACTGCTTTCCATTGAAAATGTACACAGTGGTTGATCGAATGGAAATATGTTCATCGATCCTTCGCAACATAACATCAAATGACGCCTATATATAAAAATAATAATAATCGTTTTAAATCGTTATCGAGTAATTATTTTACAAAGGTATAATATTTCTATTATAATATATAAGTATATACTATTGTACATGTATAGGTATATATATATTATTTTATTTATGTATAGAGAAAGACTAGTCATTATTTTAAATGTTTTAACATACCTCCTATTCGAAATTATTTTGTTTATGGACAATTTAATATACGTAAATACATTAAATTATTATATATTATTATACTGCCCTTATTTTTTTACTAAGAATTTATAATACGTATAATATTTCATTATGTCAACCTATATTTTAATTTTTAATTGTATAGTCTGAAGCAGAAAACTTTTATTAAACTCTTGATTTATAAATATTGAATATTCTACGAATAAATGTACCTACCTATTAATTAATAAACTTTTACACTGTCGATGAAGTGGAAAGGTGCATTTTTTTACCACACATTTTGCGAGGTACGTAATTCACTTCTCTTAGCTAAACATTAACAATTTAATCATTAAAAAAATAACGTTCATTCGATATTCAATATTCATGTTAAATTTTTTTTTTTTAAGTATTCTGATTTAAATTTTGCAATTGGAAATACAAGCTACGAAAATTAATAATCAATACATCTAATTTATGACTATTTTTCTACCAATAGGTAATTGAAAAAAGAACAACATCATGAATTATTATGTTTGAATTACGTATATGAGTCTTCAAAAATTAAATATCAACATTTTTTTTTACATTTTCAAGACTAATGAGATAAATAACTGCTGAAAACTTGACTATATTACATTATATATATTATATGAGGGCTAGCGTTTTAATGTAATGTAATTTTTTTCAAATGTTGTGATATATCTCTCTATAAGTAGAAAATGCATCTTGGGCGATACTGATAATCAATTATGTTTTTTCCATTTTTTCTTCATTACCTAAATATGACGTTTTATTTTATGGAACTTTTCAAGTTCTAGAGCATTTTTTTGAAATTGTTGAGCATTTATTTATTGATTTAATAAAACAACGCTCTTATCATTAAGTTAACATAGTAACCAGATTGCAAATATCGTGTGCTACATGTTATGCAATACTCATTAACCACTATTCTCAAATATACAAACTAAAAAGTAACAATATTTCTATTTTAGTATTCAAACATATTTTACTGTTAAAGAATTATTTAAAAAACACTATTAAAAAATTCATTTTTTACTTTTAAGCTCTTAGAAACAAATTTTTAAATGTTTTTGTTTTTAGATTTTCAGTAGTTTAAATTGTCCAGTATTTTGTGTGATTTTTAGCATATTCCATTTCTATCATTATAATAGTATAGGTACAGGTATTTCTATAACTCTACCTGGTTGTGTACTCAACCCGGCCGTCTCCGTACACGTGCAGAGTGAACCGTATAGGCCGCTGGGTTGGCTTAAAGTCACCGTGCATGTGAAAGTTCGTGTCAGGCAGCCATATGTCACTCTGGTGGTGGATGCCATTCAGAACGCTGAAAGTCGTCTGATTTGGATACCGCAGTCGAGAGTCGTACCACTCTTGTTGCAGCAGAAACTCGATGTCGTATTTCTGCAAAAAATTAAGTCCGACGTGATGCAATCGCAACGATAGCAGGCTGTATACAATTAGGCCTCGAAATAGTGGAAAACAAAATGGCTCTTGACTTATTACAAATTGCATTCCTCGGTAGTATCCCATGCACGCTATAAGAAATAACCCTCCTCCCCCGACTGTACTCAAAAATGTTGTTACAAACCAGTGAACATTTCGGAACATTCAAATGTATAGCACGATTATTTGATAGGTATAGAAACAAATATAATCGTATTATTCACTATCAACGACATGGATTGACTTTTTTTTTACGAATCAACGATTTTTGACGTTTTATGACTTTATTATCATATTAAATGTCTTCATTTGACTAAATACACTTTCAGAATTAAAGAAGAGAACTGACATGTTTTAAATCGTTTTAACAGTTTTAGAAAAAAAGATAAAGTTTAAAATAAAAACAGGGATACCAGCGCAAAAATATCTGAAAATTATTCTGAAAACTCAGTTCCTTCTCTGTAACCAGTAAAACACTTCACAGTGCACCTACCTATTACACGGTCTTGGGCGAGTCGTTAATCGTGCATACCTGCTGTAAGTACATAATATACGCGGCGTAAGTACACCGGTCGGTCGTGTTATATAAATAACGGAAAATATCATACGTATAAATTATATATTATGTACGTCGTGTATAATGCGATGATAGTGCCGACGGGGCCGTTATGTAAATTATTCCTTGGAGTGCTAAAATGCACTAAATAACACGAGTACTTGGCAAATGGCCCAATTTTGGGCCATGGTGACGGCAGACGAGTAGTCCATCAGTGTTTAAAGCACGCATGTTTTAGGAGTTTCTATTGTCCGACGTGCAGCGCAAAAACGTTAAAACACGGTAATCGCCGAAAGTATAGTATAAACCATTTCGACATTGTTGTCGAACGAAATTAAAACGTAGGGTTGCACACGTACACGGAAATAGCTGGTACGAGAGTTGTATTTGGATTTTATTCAGAATCTATGTATATCTCCCCCCCCCCCCCCCCCCCNCTTTATTAAAAAAACTTGTTAGCAGATATATGATAATGTTGTATAGCTTAAACCATAGACCATTTTATGTTTATTTTTCGGTTCTGCTTTTTTTCGAAACTGTTCAATAATACTATGTTAGTTATAATTTATTAACATTTTTTAACAAAGACGCGAATTCAATTCAGTTATGACTATTACATAGTTTGAATGAATTGCTAAAAACGCTAACTAACCATTAATTTTAGAAAATATGTTAAAATATTTTTGAGACTGTGAGTCGGAAGGTCGATTGGTCCCCTCCATTTATGGTCAAACAATTTCGCCTAAACATTATAAGTTCAAACTGCAGTGGCTATAGCAGTGATTGCCATTCAATATTGTTCTTCTAAGAAAACTTTTCCGCAATAGAAGGATTAGTGAAAAAAATAAATAACTTATCACTGCTATCAGATATTACACTAAGTAGGTATATTATGCTAACTTTTTAAGTTTTAACCGGCTACTTGGTAACGAATATTTATAGTTAGGTGTTCAGAAAATTACGAGAAAAAATAACAGTACACTGTAATAACAGCTCTAAATTATTGTTTAGTATTCTGAATACAGCTACTAAAATGGTTATGTATTATAATGGTTCATTATGGGTTACATTTAAATATTATAATTTATGCACTAATTTGATATGGCATTTAACATAGATTTATGGTAAGTATCTATACCTTTATTTATGAAACAAAAATACAAAACACCATTATCTAACCATGCGGTATAATATAGATATTTTAATTTTATATAATATTATGAAAAATGTTCAAATCGTGTACCTATCTTAAAAAATATTAAAAATATAAAATAATTTATAATTTACCAAACTTGATTCATCAGGGGACGACAATGTAAATAATACTACGCTGACATTGACTATCGAAGGACCTGTAAAAATATAATAAATGATAATTATTCTTCAATAATACGTAATATTTATATAATACAATATAACTTGAAAACTGTTTTTTTTCTCTTTTTAAGGTTAGGTATCTCTAAATTCTAGTTATGTATCTCGAATTATACAAATCTTAAACCGATTTTTTATCTCACATTGACTTCGAGTTATCACGACTGACTGTAGTCTGTATTGGATAATGTACTTTAGAACTTTAGGTGTCTACATATCTAGTATCTACCTATATAATAATATTTTTGAACAGTTATATAATGGTTATAATTTTGTATTATAACATTTATTATTATAGTTATATAATTAAATATATCATATATTAATATTCTATAGTTTAATAGTGCACAGAATACAGATATGTACAGTGAACTATTGTATTAACAAATATGTGTGGACTGGTGTTGACAATTGACATAGATATGTGTCTGAAACACAAATTAAAATAATATCACTGATAGTTAAAATTTTTTTATTTCTTACTGATCTTTGTAGGTATCATTGCTATCAAAAATAATAATAATAATATTAAAAATGACTTGTTAAGTGACTGTATATCCATATTCATTTACGTGTTACATTATACTATACGTGGAATATAATACATCTTAAATGTTACAACTAAGCTGAAATGTAGAATTCAAAATTTAAGAAAAGGTGTTGGTTGTTGGATTTGGCCCCCACGGGTCTGTGTTAAACAATTTTGTGCTTGGAACGCGATTTTTAAATTATTAGATTGAGCTCATCTACTTAATTATTCCAATACGAACACAGTGGCATTATATTTTATATACCTTATTTAGGCAATCTTAGGTAGGTACATCGTGCATGAATTCTATCTGATTAGCTGTTTGTCTTGTTCACAGTTACGGGTATGATGAATTAATCGCTTAAAATACTCGTATGGTATGCAAAATAAATGATAAAATATAATGTTTATACTCATTATGATATCAGAAGACAGAAACACATGCATGTTGTCTATAATAATCAATTAGTAATGCGTTCAAAAGTCTAATTAATAACGATTAATCGTATTCTGCATTATGTTTGAATTAATCGCACGCCCGATAGCATATAGTAATTAATATAGTTTAGGTAGGTATCTAATAATAATTTGATAGTATAGTCTGTTATTGCGCCCACTATATGTATAGTTATTGTACTATATTGGTCGTGCTTTTAGTATACCTAAGACCTAAGTGTTTAAAAAAAATTATCTGAAAAAAATATTCATTTAATCAGTTTGAGTGGTATACTATTTTTAGAACAAATTCGTCAACTTAGTGTGTATAGATAATTTGCTATCCACCTCGATAATAAATAATAATACAATTAATTTTATTTCATATTTCTATTACGGTTTCCTGTTCGTTGCACACATTGTATGATGTAACTTAATCATCTTTTTACGTTTGACTCTCTATATAAATTCGTTAAAAGGTACAAACTTGTATGAGTATAATATAATATTTATAAATAAAGTATGCGTACAACTAAACTTTTTGACAGTTCATATAATTTCTGCAGAGGGAATATACACACCTATTTAAATTATTAAACACGTAATCATAATTAACTTTTTATGTTATCAAAAGTATGAGAGCAACAGTATTGGTTACTATATTTGAGTAATATATTTTGGGTTTTAGAAAATGGATTAAAAATGTACTTTTCTCGACCTTAATTACGATTTTCAAAATTATTTATATTAAAATCGATCTCGACTGTTTATGTCTCATTAGTAAAAATAGTAAGAATTTCAAAGTTTAAAAACATAAAAACAATACATTATTATAATAAATATACTTACCATATGACGGTGGTAATAATCGCTTGTCATAAATGTCGGTATTTAATAGATGATCAAGTATATGTTTGTCCGATTTTCCATTTTCAAATCTAAACACAAAACATACATTTGTATCAATCTATTTTTGTCCAAAACCACTTAGTCAATTATTGAATCATTACTTATATAGGTATTATTTAAAGGTTAAAATAACTAAATTTAGATTTATTAAATAATACATAACAAAAAATGAATAGGTTGCTTTTGAATGAGTTATAATTATTTTATAATGCCAAGGTTGGATATTATAGGTAGTATAGTTTTATTTCTGTGTTTATTTTGAATGGTTCGTAGGCCTTGGGTACATCACTAAGTTATTATCCATGTTGTATGGGTTATTTCTTGTAATATTAAATTCGAAACCGATTTATTGCAATCACATTCTAATAACAAATGTCATTATAAAATACTCTTAATACTCCAAATAATAGTAACTGTAATTTAAGAAACCTGAATTAATAAAAGTGCTTTTTTCCAAAAATGATTGCTAGGTAACTGGTAAGAGATTTATCAAAATAAAGTAACACATCACTATAAAAGTATAAACTCATTAAATCGTCCTTGCTCTAATAAATATAATATGAAATGCAGATTGTATAACTGATAAAAAAAGAAATAGAACACATAAATAGTAATTGTGTTCCTATTAAATAAGTTTCAAATATTAATGTATTAGTTTATCATGGGAGAGGCAATTTCTTTTTTGTGTTACATTTTTTTCTCCTTCTTTATTTGATCTGTATTCTGTCATCAGGTGGTTTACAGTAAGGGTAACTCTGTATAAAGTGCATTCCGTGGGTGGTTGGTTTGCCATTAGGTAGGTGCGGTCAATTTTCAATCGGTTATTATTTCTGTTTTTCTTGAAGTTCTAAATTATGGGCAGGGTTTTATTTTAATTTAATAATTTATATGTTTTAATTTAAAAATACAAATATTTGCTATCATGCAACTATTCAAAACATTTTTTTTTTTTTGTCCGACATTCCAAATAATTACTGTATTAGGGTATTTAGTCTTATATATTATAATCAACTGAATTTTCAACTGTTTTATTTTAGTTTGGAAGACATAATATTAAATATCCTAGAGATAAATTACTAACCATTCAATGTCAAAACAAAATTATATTTAGGTATGTATTTTTTCCTTTTTACTACAAATTGTGTACTTGATTGATAGATCTTATCCTAACCCAATCCAATATTATTAAATAATATGCCTAATTACTGTTTTTTGATTTAGTAATTTTTTTTAATGTATTATACTCATACTATTTATTAAATAAAATGCACTTAATTCAGTTTTCAATGTATGCAAATATACTGATATTTTAGAATGATATATTAAGTACTAGAAAGTATAATTTGTGTAGTTAAGTGCACGTTTAACGTTTATTTTAACTAATGCAAAACCATTAAAACGAAATGAGTATAATTATTTTTAAAAAAATGTTATTTAAAAATGTTTTTTTTTGTTAAAAAATGTAAAAAAAATTATTAATTGAAAACGTATAGGTAGATACTATTTATAAATATGTTAAAATGCATAGAAGTTGTGCGCTAATCAAATGTCCTTTTTGTCATAATTTTTTTCACGAAATATATAATATGAACAAAATAATACGAAGAATTGTACACTTTAAACGTAGTGGCATTACAGCTCAAAGACATTTGAAATTCATTGCCTTTTTGAAGAAATAGAAAATGAGTATGGTGAAATTCCATTACTTTGTGATGTAAGTTTAAAATGTTTTATACAAATTGTTGATAGATTAATATTATTCGATACAATTGTCAAATCAAATTGACATATGCACCTTAACTTTCGAACCCATTATCATGGACACATATTCTTAGTACATCAAATTGTTTAACTCAAAAACTACTCGTTGGAATTTCGATTCTGATGTATACAAAGTTCCAAAAAAATAATTTATCATCCAAAACATTTACAGTATAAAAGAGGGGTCCTTGTTTGAAAAACAGAAGTTAGTATTTCCACAGGATACTCCTTAAGTGGCACCAAAAATCTCAAAAACATGAAAGTATATGGCTTTCAAGTATATTTTTAAATTAAAAAAATTAGAAGAATGAGCTTTTTGAATCACTCTATAAATTTAATATATGCATATTTTACACGAATTTATGGTATTTCAAATTGTATTCATTTATCGATCTAAATCTAAAATATTCAATATCATCGACCAATAACATGTTAATCGACGATAAATAAATGAATACATCTGTGAGTTACCATTTCGGTCGATATTAGAACTATATACCTACTATACACATTAACTGTATTTTAAACGTAACATAATATTCATTATAGTAATTACTTACTTAAATGGTACTTCTTTAGGCTGCAGTGTCTCTGAATATTTCAAAATTGATACGCAAAGTATAGATACGTACATAAGTTTGGAAAAGTTCATCGTCCTAAGATAATAAGTAAAAAAAAATTATTTACAGATCAAATGTGAACATAACACTCAGTTAATAATTAAAATTTTAGTAATATGAGTACCCACATTACATTATTATAACTGTGATATGTTAGAAATACTTCGTTTTTATAGTACCTACAGTCACTTTGTATAATTATTATATGTATTATACAAACATAAATTTAAATTATCAGTTATTGATAAATTATTAGACATATAAATTGCTCAAAGTTCTTAGAAATCGCAAGAGCATTTATCAAGCTTGTTATCTATTACCACAAGTAGAATAATATTAATAAACTACAACACTTTTTAACTATGTGATTGTAGAAAAAAAGTATTTTATTTTAATCAATCAGCTGCTAAATATTTGAAAGTAGTGAAGTCTTAATTATATTATATAGGTTGGTACATAAATCAGCCCATGATCAATATTCGGTCGATTTCGATAAAAAAATGCCAATTTTATCGCAACAGAACCACAAAACGATTTACGTCATAATATCGTTTTAATGTCTATTATATTTGCTAGACCATACTTCTTTAAAAATATTTAATCTTAATCTTTAACACTGCGCAATGAGAGCAATTATCATTGAATAATCTAATAAAGGAACAATTAATAGATTATTTTCCGACATTATTCTTCTATCAACTTCTATCGAAAACTCATATGATGACATAAAAAATTACTGTCAAAAAAAAAAAATTAATATAATAAAAAACGTATTATTATTAAAAGACAAATCAGCACCCGTTAGCAATATGAATTATAACAATTACATTTTCTTTAGATTTTTAATTAATTGTTTACGATGCATTTCAGCAAACCATATTGTATTGTATAAAATATAACTTACTTTTGATTGATATTATTAATAACCATATATGCCATGACTAATTATTTGATAAAAATATAACAATTTCGTTGTTTCCATTAAAGTATTATGGATAACTGCTGTTCAACCCAGTTATTCGCTCTAAACAGTCTAAACAATACACGAATCGTTATATACTTGTCGTTTCATCGGTTTTTTGGATCACAATAGTTCACTGATTCAAAAAATATCGTCCTTTTTGTTTGGAAGCTAGGCAATGTTGGACAATGTGTAAGAATAATACATTCGGAATGAGCAACGTTCACATTATGACGTTTTATAGAAAGAAAAAGAATCCTTTGAAACCGACCACACTTCGTGCACTTCCATTGCTCATTACAAGCCAAAAGACCATAAATACTATACGGGTGGCCGTTCTTTAGAGTTTTTACACTGATGCACAGTAAAGGACTTTTGATGTGCATGTTTTTAATTTTTTTTTTTTTTAATAATGACCGTCATTCTTCACACGCGAATGCAAATGTGCACATTTTTCTGCATAACGATTCATAATGCATGGTATATATTGTACATATCATGTACATTATGAATGTAATAGCATCGTTCAAAGAACAGCGGTTGGAGTTAAACATATTTCTTATATACCTAGAACCACTCTGTATTATACCTGCACTATGCAACCATTGTAGTTACCGTTACCAGTTACTATACACTGTAATCAAATATATACGGTCCACAAGGTTCGTGAGGTCGTCACATATTCCAATAATCCAAGTGTCACATATAGTATGCCACTGTGATCAGATGAGTAGTTGTACAATATACCTTATGAGTACGGTTTGATCATTAATTTTCAAAAAATATAAAACCCTTCCCTTGAGCAGATAATAATGTTCTCGACTATTTCTCTTAAATACATTGTATGTATAGGTATAACGAATACTTATAATACAACTTATTTTAATAATATCGATAACCTCAAAAATGTACTGCTTGCATCATTAAAAAATTAGGTGAAAAAATAGCATACTCGTCGATTCCTAAATGGCTTCTTCAAAAACTTACTGATGACCAACATTTTTAATTTCTGTTTGCAAAATAATATTTTTGTAAGACATTTAGCATAAAACTATGAATTAATTGTTGTACACAAATTATGATTATTCATCTTGGACTATGAGTGGAAGTTTATATTTCAGATTCTACATTGGGTTTAGGCACAATAATGTGTTTTATTTTTTAATTTAATTTTTTTTTGTCTGTCATTGCGTCTTGAAACAGAATATGGTTCCGTTTCATTTGACCATTATTGACCTGATACCAAAATATTTTGTAGTATAACAGGTGTAGTATTAGGTTTACCTTGTAAATGAAATGTCTCCAATTAAATATTGATATGTGTAGTACCATTAAACTATTACAACTATTTTTGTCTAGAGAAATGATTAATTGTTAAAGTAATTATGTAATTATTTATCTACCCGAACAAAAAATACTGTAGACGGTTGGCACTACCTATGCTTTAAATGCATAGTTAGGATGTCATACGACTATTTGAAAATTTAAAATTTTTATGAGACAGGAACAAGGGTCCCTATAAGCAAAAAATAAAAAAAAATATGTGGGTATAAATAACCCTATGGAAAAAAATATATATAAAGAGATACACCAATGCCTTCATAATACAGTAGAAAATGTACCTAGGTATATTATACTTACAGAGCATCGTTCATAATTTTAATTTTTATATATTTGTTACCTAATTTTTATAAAATCGTATACTTTAAAATTTTAAACAAAATTTAAAAACTTAGTATCTAATTGCTTATTATTTCTTTCAAAAATTAAAAATATATTAATTTTAAAATGTAATGTACCTAATACTAAACATTTATAACTATTATTTTTTTTCCGGACTTTTTTAAGCGGGATATCTTTGGTTCAGGATATTTTGGCTTTGAATCATTTGTTGCCAGATATTATTTTTCGGACCAAGTAATGGGTTTTATATACTTGAGGTTTTTTCAACAAATTTAATTAAATTTAAGAAATTTATAAGCAACTATTAATAATATAATAATGATGCATCGTATGCTATCCCCACAAATAGTTTCTGAGACTTGTACATGGCTTATATTGATCTAAAATTGGTATTTATAAGATAGAGTAGTTAATCAGTACCTATCTATATTTATTTCTAAAGTTAACACAATTAGGAGTCTATGAGAATATATTATTATCTCGGTTATCCTCATTCTTCAAATATTTCACAACATTAATTTCATAAAAATAAGTAATATCATTTAAGGGGAAATTAAGACCATCTCCGGAGTACCTTATTCACTTATCGTCCACTTATTCTTAATGTTCATTAATTGAGTACTTGTGCCCAAGTATTTTAATCCATTAGATTCCTCTGTTTACAGATGATCTAATTTACAACAGGACTTATAGTGATGTGGAATTATTACAATCAGATCTCATGTGTGAGTATCGTAAAGTGGTTCGAAATAAATGGTCTCAAATTAAATCTATCAAAATGTACATGTTTATAGTTTAGCAGAAAACAATATACGTTCGTTTTTGAGTATGTGCTTACAAAGTTAATGAAATTCCTTTACAGCGTATCAGAGCGTGTTTACCATGGTAGACGTGCAAGTCCAAGATCTTATTCAATACTACTTATAATTACGCTCATGGACAGTATTAAAGAATAATAAGAATCTCGAAAACAAGTAGGCACTTATCTTAAAATAATTTTCATCTTAGTAAAAATGTATTGATTAGGTAATTGAAAGGTACATTGTTTAAACGAGTAGTTAGTTGTCTTTTAATCATCAACAATTTCCGAAAAAAATCCATGTTATTCATAGCTTTTATTTTTGCAATAATTAACCTTCTTGACATTTTTACTATTTTAGGTTAATTATCATCACTATTAATGCTCTTCAGTTATTTTTATTCCTACTCTGTACTAACGATTTTATTTCAAGGGTTTCGGTAAAGATTTTATAATATTTTGCTCGACATCGATACGAGCATAACCTTTATTTTCTTTTGATTCGACAAACATAGGACATTGAAAAAATACATATTTTCGTTATCTTGTTTATATTTTTATATCATTTTATTGCAATATTTATTTTAGTTGTTGCGTTTTATACAAAGGTTAATATTTCAAAAAATATTAAAATACGTACAATTTTTAGGTAATACAAAATGCATTAACATTTAAAATTTAAATCTTGATGGGTTAAACTATAAATGCAAAGCGCTATGTCAATATCAAATCAATTGTTGTATATGTTGTTCATATTTATATTAATATTATACATACTATATATATTTCCAAGAGTATAACTAACATATTATGATAAAATCAATAAATTAATCTTTATATTATACATTTTACAAGAATATTAATATTAATATACATTAATAATTGGTTGTAAATATTGTAATAATATTTTTAGTTTTAGGTTTAATTATTATAATGTTTTAAACATGCAATAAAAACAAACCTTTAAATCACATATAATATTATATAATATTATGCGTATTGACAACTGACCATAAACGATTGATCAGATAATATATGCTGTCTACTTAGTGCTTGGTGATAATCAACATCTACATTACATATATAGTTTCACTATGATTGGTATTTAAATTGTAATGTATAGGCATATACTACCTATATACTATAATCAAAAAATAAAACTTGAACGTTTTCAAATATTTATTAAAATTAATGCACATTATTGAATATGTTTATCGTAATTTATTGTAGGTATATTTTTAAATAAGTACGTTTTTAAATCTAAACGATTTAACATTTTTGAATTGTAAATTATAACCCATATAAGTCATAGGTGGTATGCAATGGTTAGGTAAGAGTTATGCCAAAAATGTGTGCTTATTTCAAATACGAATACATACAGCGTTTAAAACCATAAAAATTCAAATTAAAACGGGCCAATAAACACTCACAGGAGTGGTATATGCTGTCTATATATACTTATATAAAAATGAACACGTATTTTGCTTATTTGAAATACTCGCTACGATACATTATATAAATTCAATATAACTTCTAAGTATATGTCATATCGACATCTGAGCACTAAAGCATATAAAGCATATTTTTTTGTTTCTGCACTTTAAAACGCGTTACATTGAGAGAAAAAAACAATACACCACGTTTCCATTAAACAGTGGAGAATTGTGGTTCTGAAACATTTTAATAAAATCGACGATAAATTTTGTACTTCTGAAGATCTACATAATATATGTTTAATACAATAACTACATTCGCATAGTGTAAAATAAA